TCTAAATGGGATTTGGATTCACAACCTAGGTCATACAAATTGAATCTGATAGTTCTTATTAACTCATTCCACCAGCTCAGTACACAAACCAACGACTCCGATATCATTTACACACAAATGTGTGATCCAGATTTATGGACCCCAAGGCTCCGGACACTAAGGTCATCTCCAACTGAAGGGTCCAGAGGGCCAGAAGGTCGAAAATAGTCCGAAAACCGTCTCTAACCGAGGGCTAGGCCAGAGGGCTGTGGAATCTGAGAGGGCCCCAAGGAATTGAAGAGGGCTTGGCCAGAAAAATCAGTTTTCCTGTCGGATATAATTGACATGAAAGCTTAAAAGAATTTTGAATTCAACGACTAGCTAGCGCCAGTTACCGTTGGATTCAAAATTTATTTTTTTTTTGTTTTTTAGGTTTTTCAGGCCTATTTTTTTCCTATAAATATCTAAACCATTCCTCACAAAATTTTCACCATTCCTACACCATTTCAAATCTCATATTTTCCTTCCTCCTTCAAAAATCTATCCTTCAATTTTTTTAATAATTTTGAAATTACCTCGTTTGTAATGAAAGGTAGGGCTTGGATGGGTGTCGAAAGATAGTGTGAGGGGGAATTGTTAAACAAATGATAGTGTTTGGACTTGTATGTCTAAAAAATACTTAGAGTTCTATGAAGGCACCACTCCAGTGAATATTCGAAACCGCGAGAGTTGTTTTTCAAGATGGAAGAAACATCTTCAGCCAAGTTTGAACAAATGGCATCAAGCATTGTTAGCAGCTGCAAGTAGACATGAAGGTTAAAGGAAAAGGGCAAGGCAAATGATGATTATGCCGCTCAACATGAAGTGGCGGCCTCATTGCGATTATTGGCGGAGTAAAATGCCTTTGAGGCGGAAGAAATGAAGTGTAGGCATGAAGAACAGGCCAAACAAATACAAGAAGAGATGGATGATAAGAATATGGAAATGAACACTTTGAATTAGACTCTAATAAGTATGACCTATTTTGATAGGAGAAAAATAAAATTATGAGCTGACGGCAGTTGTTTAGTTCTGACTATACTCCTACAATGGCAGATGATGAAGATGATGTTGATTATGGATATTAAATTTAAGTTGTTGTAGTTTTTAAATTTAAGTTAATGTTGTTTTCGAATTTAATTTGTAGTTTTTAAATTTAATTTGTCGTTTTTAAATTTTAGTTGTAGTTTTTAAATTTTAGTTGTTGTAGTTTTTAAATTTAAATAATAAATTATGTTTGGCCCTATGCCCTCGGTTGGAGACGATTTTTTGTGACAGGGCTAAAACGAGCCATTTGGCCATTTGGCCCTCCGCTGGAGACGAAGGCAAATATGACACTGTTCATTAAAATATTAATATCTTGGAGAATCTTGGAAGATCAGAAGGTTAAATTGAGCCATCTGACCAGTCATCGGTTAAAGATGGCCTAAAGTCTGGAGTAGATCTAATTCCCTTCAAATGGGTGACATGGAAAAAAGATCCCACGTGTATGTCTCTTTGTCCACGTGACAGACTTTGATTGGAACAATGATGTCAAGACACTGAGTAGTCACAGAAACAGTTCAATCGCCTAAAAGCCAAAACCCCGCGATATGCAAAATTCTCAGCTGCAAGACTGAAGAAAATTGAAAGAAATCCCAAGAGTCCAAAATGTCGGAGACGAAGGCCGAGAGCAAGAGCAAAAACCCTAAGAAGGTCAATCTCTCAGATCACAGCTCCATCAAGCACCTCCTCGACGAGTCTGTCTCCGAGGTCGGTCGATTTTTCTCCAATGTTTTCATAAATTTAATTTCACCAGTTTACCGATTGCGTTTAACATCTCACAATTTCCTCAATTTCTGAAAGATTTGGATTATACGGTTATCAGAAGTTATGTTTTGCTTGATTTATTGTGTGATTTGTGGATTATGAGGCTGTTTGGAGTGATTAGTGATTGGATTAATTTAATTAAAATGGTTTTGTAGATTGTTAAGAGTCGCGGGTATGTGGAGAATACGAGGCTGAGTAACTTGAAGTTGCTGATTGGAACCGTTGTGATAATCATTGCTTTGTTTGCTCAGTTCTACAACAAGAAATTTCCGGAAAACCGAGATTTCCTGCTTGGATGCATTGCATTATATCCTTTTTCTTGAATTGATCTCAGATAATTGGTTAAAGTTAGGTGCTAACTAGGTTCTGCTGTCTGTTCTTGGCATTGTTTGATCGTGATTGTTTTATTCGTAATCACCATATTCCGTAAGTCGTGTGTTTTTATAAGTATATTTCCGAAATTTTGAGCGGATACAACTTTGAACGACTTGGTTCAGAAGAATTGAGGAATGAATTTTCGGAAAGGACATGTAAGAATCTGATTGAATAGTTAATGGCGTATCCTTGTTCGAATGATAATTCCGCAAGTCTGTTTCATCTTTGACTCTGGCAAGTATGTCATCGTTAATGGGATATTGCAGCTGGTCTCATACACGAAGGAGAAAAATGCAATCTTGTTCACTCATCCTCCTGCGGTAAGCTCTTTTATGTTTTTCTTAGTAACATTTTCATATTTGTTGTTTAATGTTTGTATATTGTTTTTAAGTATTACCACCACATAGTCAATTGATGTCTCGGTGAACGATAGTTTCATGCTTGGTGGAGATGGTTCTGCAGATGTTTTGTATAAGATTTTAGTACTACATAGGATGTGAGGAAGGACTGTCTTAGCTTAATTCAAGTCACATGGCTTGTTTACGTTTTGTTATAAGTAAATACAAACTGTTGAGTCTTTGCTCTAACATGGTTCATTAGTTAATTTCTCCTTCAGTATAGCAGATGAACCTTTAAAGGAAGTATGCGAGAGTTTTGTCTCGTTGCATGTTTAGTTTGTAGATCCAGGTAATTTGAACTAAGGTGTCATTGTTTTCTTCACTAGTAACTATGTACTATAGTTGCTGGAAATTTCAATTCTGCCAGGTATGTATGCCAAAAATATTTTCAGTACGTTGGGGTCAGTTTGGCAAAATTGGATTATCAAGTCGGTTTAATTTCAACTTAAACAAGTGTGAAACTCAAAGAAACTTAATAGTTTCAGTTTACAGCTTCTGCATAATCACTTGGAATTTGGGCTAACAGTTCATTATATCATCTGAAATGGAGGCACATTAAGTTGCTTCACGAAAGAGAAGTCAAAATATGGTCTTGTTGCCTAACATAAAAATTGGTGTTGTCCATTTCTTATTGGTAATGCATTTGTGCAGGGCGCCTTTAGCACCGGGTTGGTGGTGTCTTCCAAGTTACCAAGATTTTCTGACTTGTACACGCTTACAGTAGCCAGTGCAGATCCGGAATCAATATCTGCAAACAAACCAGTGGAATTCACAAAGAGCGTTACTCAGTGGTCTCTCTCTTCCTCCGCCTCTCCCTTTCATGTCTGCGCATAAGTGCTCACACGTGTCTTCATATTGCTTCTTGGAGTTTCAAGTTGCAGTAATATTTTTTGCTCTACTTTTGTTTTTCTGTTTCAGGTTTACCAAGGATGGAGTGTTGGTGGAAGGCCTTTTCTGGAAGGAAGTGGACGGACTCATCAACGAGTATGCAAAAGAACCGAAGAAGAGCAAGTGAATTCTGGCTTTTCAGGGAACCCCATTTGTTGTGATTTTGGTAAAACCTCTTGGTAGTCATGAACTTGAATGAATTTGAAAGACAGTCACCATCCTTTATAATGATCGCTCAGGTTCCCACTTCGAAGCTTATTTATGAAAGTGCCTTTGTGTTTGTTAGATATCATGAAATTGTGAGCTCTGAAATTACTAGTGTTCTTTTTTCGTGTTTGTAAACTTTTATTTTGCATTTTGTTCATAGTTACGTTTAGCTAAAAAAGTTAAAAGTGCTTATTCATGAAGCATTGCTTTCATTTTCAATTTTGGGCTCGTTTGATAGTGGTTCTCGGTGGTCACAATAACTTTCAGAGAGAGGCACTTCATGTGACAAAAATGCTTATATCAAAAGTGCTTTCAAGTACTCTTTAACATAAAGCATTCTCAAGCGTAGTACGTTCTAGGAGAATCCTCTACATTGTTTTGAGCTTAATGTTGAGTGATATTTTAAGAGATTCTGATGGTAAATGAATTTCTGGGTCTTACGCCAATTTGGGCATAGGTGAGATTCTCACTGTTGATCTATGGGTCTTTACTTGGGCTTACATGGCATGAAGATTATGGGTTGATGAGCTATTGAGGTGTGGAGTGTTTACTTGGGCTTACAATTGGCATGGAGATTACACATTGATTCATTACTGGTGGAATCAGACCATGCAATCGTAGTTCATTTGGTGTTGCAAGTTGTTGGCAATAATTATCATTTGGATGCCCTTGTTGTACCCTGCCGAGAATTGCCTTTAAGATCCTGGTAATGCGAACTTCAGCATGTTTATAGAGGTTTTAATTTTTTTTGTGGCAGACAATTTAGCTACTTATAGGCTTGATTAGTTGATATATATTTAGGCACTTTTTATTTTGATAATCTCCTTGTTTAGCTAGTTTTATTCGTGATGATCGACTTGAGATGTCCCAATCTAAATTTATTAGAGCTTTTGCTTTTAGCCCCCTTTTTCAATAAAAAAGTTCATTGTGACATGATGATATTTTTTTCATATTAATGTCTCTCGTATTTTGGAGAAGCATTTCCAAACGGATCTTAATATACATATAGTGCTACATGATTAATCCAATATCGGATAGGGAAGAGATCCTTTTCAGATATCTCCCACTAAAGCCTACCAATCAATTAATCTGGATTCTTGAAATTTGATCAAACGGATAAATTTATTATAATTTTTAAAGAGGTTTTCTATTTGTAACTGTTGAATTAAATTTTAAGTGTTCGAATTAATTGATTGGTGCGTTTTGGTGGGAGAGATCCGGAGCCTATCGGATAGGCCCAAAAGAATTGGGTCGGTTGGATTTGGTACAACAAACGCGGCAAAGAAAAAGCATAAAGGAATAAAACAGTATTTGCCCCTTCTGGAAACACCCCCAATGCTCCTTCCTTGTTCCTTCTACAACCTTCGATTGCCTCTTCCTCAAGTTTCTTCTCTCTCTCTCTCTCTCTCTCTCTCACTGAATCCGAATATATTACAGCAAAACCCTAATCAATCTCAATTCTCTGTTGTGCTTGTTTGCCTTCATTTTATGGTCAAATGGCGAGCAGGAGAGCCACCACAACGCTCACCAAGTCGGCCCTGGCCTTGGCGTACCTGAACGCCTCCACCAGAAACTCCCTCTCTCATCAGTGTCGCGCAATCGCCGTCGCCGCCTCCGCCCGCGCCTTCGGCAGCTCCGCCGCTCCCTTCTCTCGCCCCGGCATCGTTTCGGATAGGGGAAATGTCGCTTCGGCCAAGTATTTGGCAATCGCCTTCACTCGCAGCTTCCACTCTACGACTCCCAATTTCTACTCCGCCACGAGCTCCTCCCAGGTCACAAAATCCCTAAAACTATTCTCATTGGATTTGAATCTTTAATTTTTTTTTTATATTATATGAATAAAATTGGAAATTGGAGGCTAATTTTTGAATTTTTGAACTTGATTGAAAAATCAGGTCAGTCAGAATGAGTTCACTGAGATGGCGTGGGAGGGCATTGTGGGTGCCGTTGAAGCTGCCCGAAATAGCAAGCAGCAGGTGGTGGAAACTGAGCACTTGATGAAATCGCTTTTGGAGCAGAAGGATGGTTTGGCCCGGAGAATTTTTACCAAGGCGGGCCTGGACAACACTACGGTTCTTCAAGCAACTGACGAGTTCATTGATAAGCAGCCCAAGGTGCATTTAATCGAAACCCCTGTTCCATTTTTCATCATAGATGTAATGGCATAACCATGTTTCGTTTCAATGCAAGTGCTTTAATTAGAAACTCGTCAAGATTTTATTGAAAACCCAATTGCGTCCTGGAAAAGCACTTGGAAGTGTTTCCTGAAAAGAAAGTAGGCTTTAGGGTTTAGGGATAGAAGAACTATTGAAGTTTTATGCAAAACAGAGTCATAGGGGCTTATGGTTGCCAGAGAGAGGTTTTAGCCTCTCCAGAAGCAGTCCCAAACTGTCCTTGAGATGGAATTGTGGTTAATTGAGCATTGTGTTGTGGCAGGTGACGGGTGGCACCAGTGGCCCTATTATGGGTTCGCATCTGGTTGGCTTGTTGGACAATGCCCGGCGGCAGAAGAAAGATATGAAAGATGATTTTGTGTCGGTGGAGCACCTTATGTTGGCGTTTCAGGCCGATACGCGGTTTGGGCAGCAATTGTTCAGAAACCTCCAGCTTAGTGATAAGGATTTGAAGGAGGCTGTTAAAGATGTTCGTGGAAGTCAAAGAGTCACTGATCAAAGTATGCTGTGCCTTACCTTGAATTGACATTTTACTATGCATATATGTATTCGGTATTCTTAGATACCTTCAATAATAAAATCAATATTGTTTTTTTTTTTAATATAGATCCTGAAGGAAAGTATGAGGCCTTGGATAAGTACGGGAATGACTTGACTGAACTTGCTAGGCGGGGCAAACTTGATCCTGTTATTGGCCGAGATGATGAAATACGGCGGTGTATCCAGATATTGTCTAGGAGAACGAAGAATAATCCTGTTATTATCGGTGAGCCCGGTGTAGGAAAAACTGCAATTGCTGAAGGGTATGTTTATTTGGGTGCATTGCATCTTTCTACTCTATCGTACTTTTTCAACAAGTTTTGATTTATTATGACTTCGATATTAACTGCAGATTAGCTCAGCGGATTGTACGTGGGGATGTTCCAGAACCGCTATTGAATAGAAAGGTAGTTATTCATTTCAGTATATTTATCAATTGATCGATATGTTTTTCTCATAGTTATTACACTAAATATTTTCTGTGGGGGGAAAAAAAAAAAAAAACCCTTAGTATAGGATTGAATGCGGATTTTGACATTGTTATTCAAATCTGAACCAGGTTCAATTTCTTGTACTTGGATCTCAATTCAAATTTGGCTAGATCCACCCTCAATTCAATTCATTGTATAAGTATACTGCATTAAACGTGCGTGATGTTTCACATGAAACAGTTTCTTCTTTGACTTTAAAAATTTCTGCATTAATTTTTCATTTTGTCTTGTATTCTACAGTTGATTTCCTTAGATATGGGATCATTGGTTGCTGGTGCCAAGTTTCGTGGGGATTTTGAGGAAAGGTTGAAAGCTGTTCTGAAGGAAGTTACTGCTTCTAATGGACAGATTATACTATTTATTGATGAGATTCATACTGTTGTAGGAGCAGGTTTGTGCTCTTTTTCTGATAAAGCTATAGCGTTTTTGTAGTGTATCTGTCATGTTTTCTCCTGATGACCTTGTTAATGATTCTTTTAGGGGCTACAAGTGGTGCGATGGATGCTGGAAACTTGTTGAAACCAATGCTTGGGCGAGGTGAACTTCGGTGTATAGGAGCAACCACATTAAATGAGTACAGAAAATACATTGAGAAGGATGCTGCACTTGAGCGTAGATTTCAACAAGTATTTTGTGGCCAGCCATCTGTGGAAGACACAATATCCATTCTTCGTGGCTTGCGTGAGCGCTATGAACTGCATCATGGTGTGAAAATATCAGATAGTGCTCTTGTTTCTGCAGCAGTTCTCTCAGACAGATACATTACAGAACGTTTTTTGCCTGACAAAGGTAACAAACTTTTCATCTTATAGGCCTTTTCTTGGTGGTGATTTTGGGGTGGGGTGGGGTTTGTTTTGGTAGAAATGGGTTTTCCTTGTAAAGTTTTCTTCATGTTCTGTATAGAACTCTATTTGATTCTGTGAAAATGAATCTGCTGCAGCCATTGATCTCGTTGATGAAGCTGCTGCAAAGCTGAAGATGGAGATCACTTCTAAGCCAACCGAGTTGGATGAGGTAGACCGAGCTGTGTTGAAGTTGGAGATGGAGAAGCTATCAGTGCAAAATGACACTGATAAATCATCGAAAGAAAGGTTAAGCAAGTTGGAAAGTGACCTGGCAGTGCTGAAACAGAAACAGAAAGAGCTCAATGAACAATGGGATCGTGAGAAGGCTCTCATGACTCGCATACGATCAATTAAAGAAGAAGTATTCCTCTGTTTACTGTGCAATTTTTTTTTGTTTGGAAAATTCCCTCATATCTTGATTTGCTGATTCATATGTTTTTAAACTTTGTAGATTGATAGAGTAAACCAAGAGATGGAAGCTGCTGAACGTGACTACGACCTAAATCGTGCTGCTGAGCTCAAATATGGAACTCTAATGTCCCTACAACGCCAGTTAGAAGAGGCTGAGAACAACCTTGCCGAGTATCGGAAGTCTGGAAACTCTATGCTTCGTGAAGAGGTCACAGATATTGATATTGCTGAAATTGTAAGCAAATGGACTGGTATACCCCTGTCAAACCTTCAACAATCTGAAAGAGACAAGCTGGTTAAGCTGGAACAGGTTCTTCACAATAGGGTGATTGGTCAGAATATAGCTGTGAAATCTGTAGCTGATGCAATTCGACGTTCAAGGGCAGGTCTCTCTGACCCAAATCGACCAATAGCAAGTTTTATGTTTATGGGTCCTACTGGTGTGGGAAAAACCGAGCTTGCAAAGGCCTTGGCTGGCTATCTCTTCAACACAGAAAATGCTCTTGTCAGAATTGATATGAGTGAGTACATGGAAAAACATGCAGTTTCACGCTTGGTTGGGGCACCACCTGGTTACGTTGGTTTCGAAGAAGGTGGGCAGCTAACAGAAGTGGTTCGTCGAAGACCTTATTGTGTAGTGCTATTCGATGAAATTGAGAAAGCGCATCACGATGTCTTCAACATTTTGTTACAACTGTTGGATGATGGGAGGATAACCGACTCTCAAGGGCGAACTGTGAGCTTCACCAATTGCGTTGTGATAATGACCTCAAACCTGGGCTCCCACTACATACTCGAAACTCTTCGTAGCACGCATGACAGCAAGGAGGCAGTTTATGAAGTGATGAAGAAACAGGTCGTCGAGTTGGCAAGACAAACTTTCCGCCCTGAATTCATGAACCGAATCGATGAGTATATTGTGTTCCAGCCTTTGGATTCGAAGGAGATCGCTAAAATTGTTGAGATACAGGTGAGCAATCTATCTTAAATGCTTTTATTAGCTATTCTTACTAGAGATGCTTAACTTGTTCATTGCTCATTGCAGATGAACCGACTGAAAGACAGGCTGAAGCAGAGGAAAATTGATCTTCATTACACAAAGGAAGCCGTGGAGCTTCTCGGGACATTAGGCTTTGATCCGAACTATGGCGCAAGGCCGGTGAAGCGGGTGATACAACAGTTGGTTGAGAATGAAATTGCAATGGGAGTCCTGAGAGGAGATTTCAACGAGGAAGACACGCTTATTGTCGATGCTGAGGCGTCCCCGTCGGCCAAAGACCTTCCTCCTCAGAAGAGGTTGCGGATCAAGAAATTGGAAAGCAGTTCAGCTGCAGATGCCATGGTTGTGAACGACTGATCGATCGTTTTCGGTTCTTTGAATTGTAAATAAGTTGAAGAGAAAGGGGTTTGTCTTAATTTTAAGGTGTTATAGAATGGAACAAAGTTATCAGAGTTTATCGAATGGAAATTACCGGACAACAGAAGAATTATGTCGAACAAACAGATGCGGGGTCGCAGGCAGAGGCACTTCACATGGCAATTTCTTCACTGTAGCCGGCAGCGTATGTCAGGTTGCTTCACCATACGTCATATTTGTTTCATATGCGCAACATGGTTCGACTGACGACAACAAGCGCATATAGTCTGGTTGACAACAACAAACTCACTAAATGTTTGACAAAATGTTTTAGTGAATAAATTGAAATTTTTTGCAGCCTCTATTTCTATTAAAAACTTAAATCTTGTAACACTGGAACTCCTCAAGGTTAGAATTTTGAATTCGTTACTGCATATATGCATGGCCGACTACGGATTTCTCACCATCGTTGTGTTAAAAAGAAAGAAGAAAAAGAAATACAAATTTCGTATGTCTTACACTTCATAAGTCATTAAACTCAAAGTTCACAAAGGCTGAGGCACTCATTCGTTAATTATGAATGTTAATCTTCTTCCTATTAGGCTCTCTCCGATCATATGCTCAAAAAATTAGACCCCCTAAATCTTTTTTGGCGTAAAGACTATCTTAGAATGAATAACTCATTAGATTTATAAGGGTGTGAAACTAAGTGACAAAAGCTTATGTAAGGGCATTCGGATTATGTCATCGATAAGGATTTCAGACTTTAGAGGATTGGTTTTGCTCACATTTTAAATAGATGCTTAATTATGATTTTAATCGTTATTAAAACTTACCAATAAGTGTACAACAATCATCAGATAAACAGTACTTAAACTCTCACAAAAGCATGAGATTTTATGTATTTTAGTCTCATCCGACTCCACGTTAGTCTCACTCAGTATAAAAGTTATCATAATTAGACAATCACGCACAAATGTTTCTCATGCGTCAACCTTACCTAAGACTTTAATGTAAAATTTGGGTTTGATAATTTGCGATTGTAATTAGAAAAAGCCTCAAAAGTGCTAAACTCCACATATTAGAGACTTGTTCACTAAGATGCACGCAAGTCACATCCTGATTGGTCTTTTTCATGTCCGATTGGCATTTTTGTCCCACTAATTGTGGTATTATCGTATTGTCACGAGATTAATGTTTGACATGGTTTTAGGATATTGTACTTTTTGGATGTATTCAATGGCTAATCAACCCCAGCATCCAATAATTCTGCCCCTTTAGCCTTTCGAGCCTAATCAGTCTAGCTGACAACCGTGCATCAATAATTTAGGTGTAAACTAGGTAAAAACTCCCAATGTGATTATGATTTTCCTTTACATCGTCAAAGAGATTTGAACTCATAATTTTTCTGATAAAGTGGAAAGAATAATATCGTTTTAACACGTAAAAGTGAGGGCATCCATATAACTAAAATCTTATATATATGGTGCATTTGTTGCCCTTACTAATTTTTACTAGATTGAACTGGATTAAGTGTTAGTGTAGTACTATGTTTGTTATTGCATGAACTAGCTTTAATGGGACTAGAAGGACTTACCTCGACTAAATGCCTCGCTAGACAGTCTTAATGAGACCCTTCGAAAAGCAACGGACTGCTAAGACCATCGCTTCGTCTTCGTTTGCTTCACCTCACCAAGTGAAAGTCCATAGAGCGCTTTAGATTACAAAAACCTTGCAACTCAATTTATTAATAGTAGTACTTACATGACGTGTGTTTGAGTTTCTTTTCTATTTATTTTATATGAAAAGATCAACACAAAGTCCAAATTGGAACTGCTTGGTACTGTACACACATTCTTTTTTACTTATAAGGATAAGTCTTGGATATGTCGATTATGTTATGGTAGGAGCTCCACTCATGGCGACCTGGTCGAATTGGGAGAAGTCGTTTACCTCTCACAGTTAATATTTTTAAATTCATTTGATTCAAAGGAAAACAAATGAAAAGAGTTTGAAAACTTTGAGATTTAACGAACAAGACAAAATAAAGCATAAAGTGAATAGTACTAAGATCGACTTTTTAGTATAAAAATGTGACTTTTAGTTAAAATGAACAGTACCAAGAGACTTTTCATTAAAGTTTCCTTGATTCAATAGCTAAAATAAAATAAATAAAAGTGGGGAAACACTTTGATGCCAAATATTCCCCTGAAGTTGCACCCAACTCTCTCCTCCGCTCCCCTTATCCTGCAACCCCCAAATCAAACACTCATCTGGTCCAGAGAAAAACGACATAGAGGGGCCCCACGCGACGCCTCTCTTAGCTGGGAGGCATGAGAAACGAGGGACGGTAGGGGACGGTGTTGGTACAATACACTGTAGTAAATAGTGCCAAATTACGCATTTCCCCATGCAAAAAAAACTAATGCCCTGCTTTGGTAGCCCCCTTCATTTTTTTTCTCCCCAACACAAATTCCCTTAGAATTATGACCTTTCAATTTTTCAATAAGACTTTCTCTTTCTGTATTTATTTATTTTTCTTTGAGGCAAAAATAAGGATTTAGGAAGAAATGAAGGAAAAATGTGATTGTCCAAAAAAAATAAGGGAAAATAAAAAATACGAGCTTAGGAAGAAATGGAGGAAAAATGTAATTGTCCAAAAAATTAAAAAAAAAAAAAAGGATTTAGGAATAAATGAAGGAAAAATGTGATTGTCCAAAAAAAAAATGAGGGAAAAAAAAAAAAGGGTTTAGGAAGAAATGAAGGAAATATGTAATTGCCAAAAACAAGAAGGGAAAATGTGGTAAAATTGTACATTCTCTTGTTTTGAAAAGGAAGAGAAGGGATTGTTTAGTGTGTTCACCTTATTTCATTCTAGTTTGAATTTTCTCATCTGTAAAAATTTTAGTAGATTAAAACATTTTATGCGCATTAGGAAATTGCAGTTATTTATAATATTAAGTAGATTTTGCATTCAAAATTTGGAACACATGAAGTAAAGTTGGTCGTTTATAGTTGAAAGTATGTTATGTATAAAGCGGTGAAACTAATTTTTGATATGTGGCATAAAATATTTAGCATTCAAATGTAACATAGATCATATGGTCAAAGTCACGACCATGGTTTTGACGTGTGGCTAAAAGTCGGTCATTTGTAATTTGGCATAGACTTCATTATAAAACATCCAGTGTGAAATTTTAAGATGTTAAGTAAATAGTTGATTATAGAAATCTTATAATTTTAAAACATAAAATATTTGAAATAACAGTTGTGAAATTTAAAGTATTAAAAAAAGTAAAAAATAGTTATAATCTTAAATTAGTCTCTTGCTATATGCCTACTTGTCTGGCAATTTGGCAAATGACCTTTTTATTTTATTATTTATTTTTTATCTAATATTATATATTATTTATTGTTTTACTTTTGGTTTTTATTGTTTTTTTACAAAAATATATTTTAGAAAATAATAATCTTATTAACCACCAACTGGGTTTTTTTTTTTCTTTTTTGTGAATGTTTTTTTAAAGAACAATACTTAGCTACTCACAAATGAGTAGGAATTCCTATTCAAAATTCTTAGTGTTTTAATCATAAAGTTTTGTGTTTATAATCATTTGTTTTTAAACAGTTTGATGGCTAAACGACATTAGTTTTAATTAATTTTTTGTAGATACGATCTTTATAAAGTGATTTATAATATGAACGGTTCTAATTATAAAAATAAAATTTTATAAATTGACGACGAACAATTTTGAAAATGTTTGAGTATGAATTCCTACTAATATTTAAGTAGCTAAGTGTTATTCTTTTTAAATTTATAAATTTTTTAAATATATATCACTCCTCTCTGTTTCTCAAGCGTCAGTAGAGTCAGTACGAAAGAAGCAGAGTCCCTCTTCATCTGATCGATTCCCTTTCTCTCTCTCTCTCCCTCGCATTTCGCTGGGTTTTTTCGTGCAATGTAGTTCCTTCCTCCGCACTCGAGAAGAAGCAGGGAAGAATAGAAGAGTAATGGCCAAGTGTCACCGAAACGACGTCGGATCCGTCGTCCTAGACCGCCCCAACACCACCTCCTCCGGCCATTTCTGGCTCTGGTCGTCCTTCTCCGGCGCCTCATTCCGTCGGAAAATTTTCGACGCCGTCAGTTGCGGCCGCAGCTCCCGCTACCGCCACCGCGACGATGACGAGGAGGCCGCTCCGATCAGTCCCCCGACTCCTCCGGCCACCGGAGTCACCACCATCAGATCAATCACAACCAAAACGACGACGACGCAGTCGCAGACGAATGTTAAAGAGGCGGAGAAGGCTGTGAAGCCGAAAGTGAAGTCCGAGAAGCTCTCGGATCTTCTGAACCTCGCGGAGTTTTCGGAAGCAGAAAACGACGCCGCGACGAAGAAGAAGGTGGAGGCGCTGGAGGAGCTGAAGCGCGTGGCGAAGGACCTGCAGGCGGACGACGACTCGGCGAAGAGGAAAGAGGCGGCGAGCAAGGTTAGATTGCTTGCCAAGGAAGACTCGGAAGCCAGAGCCACGCTCGCGATGCTCGGCGTCATTCCTCCGCTCGTCGCCTTGCTCGACTCCGACGACGCCGTTTCTCAGATCGCGTCGCTCTACGCTCTGCTCAATCTCGGGATCGGCAACGACGTGTGAGTTGACACAAACAGGATTAATTAGCTTAATTTTTATCTAATTTTGTTTTTTGTTAATTAATCGTCTTAATTTCTCTCCCTGATTGTTCTTCGTGCATGCAATTTCTAGTTAATTAGCTAATTAATCAAGATTAATTACTTTTGTTTAATTCGTGTTTATGTTCTGTCATTTTCACGTCATCAAGTTTTATTCTCCGTCATTTTCAATGTTCTGTAGATTTTCACCTGTTTTTGCTTCTTAAACGAAATTATTTGATAACTATTCTGAATTGTTCTTATCTTGTTGCCGTTGATAGTGCTTGCAGATATGTGAAATGATGAACTGCTTTCTGCATAAGCGCTTCTGTTGGGAGTGCTTATCTATGAAAACATTGTAATTTTTAGAGCTGAAATCCAAGTGCTTCAGTGCTTTTGAAGAATCACTTAGCTGCTTCCCTGCCTCATAACCGTTTTATGCTTTTCTTATTATCATAACCATTGGCTTCAGTGACTTGATTACTCTCTTCATTTCTATCAAACGTGAATAGAAGTGCTTCTAGTTGTAATAAAGCACTTTTAGGGCTCGTGTGAAAGTTCTTTTAATTGACCTAAAGTGCTTTTAGAAAAAATGTTTATTGGTTCCAAAAGTACTTGAATTGTGCTTCATCTCAAGTCATTTTTCAAGATTTATTGGCATTTTTACTAAGGAGTGGTTCAAAAATATTTTCAATA